TAGTCAGTTTTGTAGGGTGGGAGCAGTTCCCCCTCCTCCTCTCTATACTTTGCTGGTGGGGGATAATTTGGAAACTCCTTATATTCGTACTTATGCATTACCTTGAGGTATGTTGGGTGGTCGAGTGGCTGGGTTCGGCCTTTGATGTGTCCTGGTTGGATTTCTCTCTTTGTTACTCTTCTTTGGGGGCTGCTCAGATGCAGATGATTGGGTTAATATTTTTTCTTCTCGAGAAGTATGTGATGTTGAGCCTTTTACTTTTAGATTGGAGGGTTTGGAGGGTCCCTCTGATGAGTCATTTTTGGGAGGCCCAGGGCTCCCTTTTTAATGATGATTTTGTTGTTGGAGATCGGGGTATTTGCGGGTTACGGGCGGAGAGTTTGCTCTGGGGGGTTTTTGCTTTTTCTTCTGGGTTATCTTATACTTTTCTGCTTCATCTCTAGCAAGGAGGCCCAGGGCTCCTCTGTTACTGGGGTGATGTCTGTTGGAATGTGTTATATTGGGGGAAGGTTTGTTGGGGACTATAGTTTCTGGAGACTTCATGAGCTGCATTATTTTCACCTGGGGTCTATTTGTGAGCAATTTGGCTCTCATTTGGAGGCTCATGGCTCCTATTCTTTCTCTGTTTCCCTATAATTCTGGTGGCATTGTTATGATTGGTTGGATTGCCATTACTGTTTGGAAGTTGGAGGAAGGAGGACTGCCTTTATATTTTCTTTAAAATTGGTTTTCACTTTATTTTTTATTTCTTCAGTCCTTTTAGGATGCAGGTTGACGATCTGATTGTCTTAAGTTTTGGACTTTTGGGGAGAGTTGTTTTTGATCTCTTTGGATTGCGGCATGTCGGTTCTTTGGTCTGCTCGTGGGATTGTTTTGGATAATCATTGCTAACAGGAGGATTTTTTCTGTATATCTCTTTTGGGTATACATGTAATTTTTTAAGTTTCTTTTTGTGTGAGTTGTATTGTGGGGAGAGCGGGGTATTTGCGGGTTACGGGCGGAGAGTTTGCTCTGGGGGGTTTTTGCTTTTTCTTCTGGGTTATCTTATACTTTTCTGCTTCATCTCTAGCAAGGAGGCCCAGGGCTCCTCTGTTACTGGGGTGATGTCTGTTGGAATGTGTTATATTGGGGGAAGGTTTGTTGGGGACTATAGTTTCTGGAGACTTCATGAGCTGCATTATTTTCACCTGGGGTCTATTTGTGAGCAATTTGGCTCTCATTTGGAGGCTCATGGCTCCTATTCTTTCTCTGTTTCCCTATAATTCTGGTGGCATTGTTATGATTGGTTGGATTGCCATTACTGTTTGGAAGTTGGAGGAAGGAGGACTGCCTTTATATTTTCTTTAAAATTGGTTTTCACTTTATTTTTTATTTCTTCAGTCCTTTTAGGATGCAGGTTGACGATCTGATTGTCTTAAGTTTTGGACTTTTGGGGAGAGTTGTTTTTGATCTCTTTGGATTGCGGCATGTCGGTTCTTTGGTCTGCTCGTGGGATTGTTTTGGATAATCATTGCTAACAGGAGGATTTTTTCTGTATATCTCTTTTGGGTATACATGTAATTTTTTAAGTTTCTTTTTGTGTGAGTTGTATTGTGGGGAGAGGAACCCCTAGGGGTGTGTTTAAATGTATTTTTGGTTTCTTAGAAAAGGATCCTCCCCTCTCCATTCTCTGTACCTTTTCTTTTAATTAACGCATAGGGAGTCACCGTTGTTCTTTCCCTTATATATATATATATATATATATATATATTTTTTTTTTTTTTTTTGGTGAGAAAGTCCAATGGCTAATATACTAAAAAGAAAGAAAGATACAAATTGATTGTATAAGAGGTCTCAAGCATGACACCCTACCCATACGGTAAACACCCATACAAAAGGTTCCAAAAAAAAAAAATACAAAAAAATACATGAGAGCCTAAAAAACCAAGTGTAAAAACAAGTAGTATTAGGTAGCTAGAGAGCGACTCAATTTTGTCGTCTTTGCCTCTAGTTCTACTAAAGGTGTCAACTAACAAACTGGCAAGATAAGTGTCATTGTCAGTAGTAACCAATGTATCGTCCAATAAGTTCATGAGCTCGAGTCGACCTCCATTCTTCTTCCTTCTGGAATAAACCTGTCATTCCTCATCCGAGGATACGAAGACTGACTCACCTGATCAGTGGATTGGTCTAAAGTGTGTCAGACATGTGTAAGTTGTTGAACATTGTAAGCAAATACTTGTTGTACCAGCTGAGCTTTTATGGATCAAAGGAGAACTCTTGTGTGTCTTGGCTGATCTTTTATTGGATCAAAAGAGCACTCTCAAGTGTCATGGCATGTAAGTGAGTCTTCTTCAATAACAATGAGTGATATAGACACGTTTGGATCAGTACTTGTAGTATGGGGAGATGTTTCATGGGACTCCAAAGTAAAAAAGCTCCAAACCAACAACTAGAATAGAGTGTTCAAAAGCAGGAGCATCCAAGGGTAGAATGGCTTGGGTATGATGTACTTCATCAGGAACA